AAGAAGACTGCACTGCACTTGGCAATGTTTAAAAATGCAGTAGCTTACTCCTTTCAAGCTGTGAATGGAGATAATTGAAGCAATACCATTTGATGTTTTTGTACACACTTACTTGACTATGAGTCTGTGTTTTCTGGAGAAGAATGCATGTGCATTGAATAGTTTCACTATTTTACTTGTTACAAGATTCTAATGAAAAAAGATTTAATTGAGTTTGGGGTTTATGTCCTGAATTTTTCACTAACTCATGATGTGATCTTTTGTTAAAGATTATTTCTTCAAGTGAGTACCAGTGATGTCAGCTATCATCATACTATTTCTATTAGCATTTTAAAAATTAGCTTCCAAGACCGGAAAGGCAAATCCAGATCCAAAGTATGGTCTACTCCTATAAAGTGAATTGCTGCCTCTTCTAGGATGGAAGGGATCCAATGTAGTCACCTTGTCCCCAACTCTTTATTCTGCTGCACCCCATACTCCACTCCCTGCCCCACCCTTTACCCCGTCTTGATCAAGCACTCTCAGAGTATAGTCTCATGCATACTGTCCTGGCTCCTACCACTAAATGTTAGCTAGGTCCTGGACTTAATTCAGGCTATAGTTCTTTTTCCTTTTCATGTCCATCCCATTCCTGGCCAGATTATTTTGTAATTTAACCCCACTTTTTGGCATAGTGGCCAGAAGAGAAGATGAGACAGACTGTAGGAAGTGGGAAGCATGTTGCCCAATGGCAGCAGAATCTTCTCCATCATCTTTAAACAAGGGAGAACACTAGCATTTAGGAGAAACTTCATCATTTTCAAATAGGAGCCTTTAACAGTTCCTAATCCATGAAACAAGTATCATTCTTTCCTAAGTAGGGCCCTAACCTTGCTTAAGGTTAAGACCTGCTTAGGTTGAGAATTTAACCTTCTTGGGAACTCTTTTACTCTTACCATTAAATCCTGGTCTTGGTCTTCAGCCCATGTTTGCCCTCCTACTGCAGGAGATGAGAACCTCTTTAGATGCTACCCAAGAGGCCCTCTGGCTTTCACACATAGCTTTTAATTTGTGAGCAGTCATTGTTAGCCTTTGGTCTCTCCTGTATTTCCTCAGGTAAGCTTAGCAACACCTATCTAATTCCACTGTCCTTCTGGTTAGTATTTACCCCTTTTTCTCAAAAAGCCTGAATGATCACACCCCCTAGTGCATTCCTTTCCACTAGAATACCATCCCAATAATACCAGTAAAAGATAGTATGGCCATCTGTGCACTGCTTACCCCTGTGAAAGAATCCTTATTGGCAGTCCCTTGTTAGGTGATCCAACTCCAAAATCTTAGTATCTGCTTTCTCAGATCTCTTGGTATCAGTTGTTGTAGATTGCATTTCCTAGGATGTAGGCTCTGAGATGGAAACTAGTGTGCAAGAAGTTTAATTTTAGGGACTGCTCTGGTAGTTGGTACTGCTGGAGGAAAAGGGAAGGAAGCAGAGTTGGGCCATGATTTAGTGTCAATAAAAGCCTCAACTGACCTTGGGCTTCTGAATGTGCAGTGGCCCTGAAGAGTTGTCCTGAGTTATGGTGAGAGGGTCTAGCCTTTATTTCTCTGAACTGATTAGTTATTGGATACAGGTCAGGCTACAACGTTTGGCAGAGTAGCTCTTTTCACCCAAAGGTGTTCCAGAAAGGGCGACTACAAAGGGCTGTCTTCCAGTAGCATTTCCAGCAGCTGAAGTAATAAGTCCTTCATCCTAAGAGGGGACCTGGGTGGCATGTCACAGCACCCACTACAGTTTCATTGGGAACATTACCTTTCATTATATTGTGTGGATTACTCTCAACCATGTAGGAGGGTGAGAACTTTGTTGCTTTGTTGACTAAAATTTTCTTCTAGCTATTATTTCGTTCTCATTTCATTCAGAGTCAGAGGTGATTCTTCATATTGAATTGTTAATAATTGTCTCTTTTTCTCCACCTAATGAATCATTTATTTTTCCTATAACCTTTTTTATACAATTGAATAGGGAAAAGATTTTTTTAATCCGTTTTACAAGGTACTTCTAATCCTTCATCTCACTTTACTGTATCCCAAAATCTTAATAAATACCCCATGAAGCTATGAAAATAGAATCAGCAAAAATTGTGGTTATAGTTGTTCAATTTTCTAACTATGAATGAAAGATCAAAAAGCTCTTAAGTTATAACCTTTTATACAAATATATTGAGACAAGTGCAACACCAACAGAAAAAAAAAAACAAAAACATTTTGTGTTATTTTTCCAGGAATGATGAGAGGTTGCTGGTAACCATCCACCCCTCCCTTCTAAATATCCCTGCATGGCCATTCATGGTAATGAAATAGCTCTTCCAATCCAACAAAGCTAACTGGTTTATCAAGGCCACAAGTCTATGATCCCTCATCAGAAAGATGACTTCTCATCTATTCTCAAATGCATTAAGAATTTCAACAGTGTAATGCTTTCTGTTTGAACAAATTCACCTCTGTTATATAATAATAGCATAATTATCCCTTTTTTTATGTCTTTCAAATAGCTCAGAGCTTGCACTGACATGGCTCTAAGTGATTCTTAGAAATCTCTGTGGCTGTTAATCCCTAATCACTTCCTTAACCTGATCACCCACCTTTTCAGATAATATAAAAATTAACAGCTTTTAAACATTTTTAAGACTGTAGTCACTATAATCAGTCATACTTAATTTTAATGAAATGCTTTAACAGAAGACCATTCTTTTCCCAAGACTCTTTAAAAAGGCAATAGAGTAACTATTTCTAGTTTAGTTTTTGTATTTGCAAGAACCACTATATATATTGAATAACTAAATGATTCAATATATATATATAACTATATATATATATAACTGTATATGTATATATATAACTATATATATATATATATATAACTATATATGTATATATATATACACACACACTCTGTATACAGTGGTATATGTACAGATATATATGGTATCATTTAATTATTAAACAGTCATTTGAGCACATATTATTTCCAAGCGCATAGGAACCACAAAGATAAAAACCAGTTTGGCATGACTCCTCCTTCAAGCAGCTCAGGAAAGACAGATGTGAAATCGAAATATCATGGTATCTTGTAATAACCCTTGACGGATATCATAGTGGAATAACAATGGAGGGAAAGCTGTGCCTAGAGAGAGGAATGGCCTCAGGAATGGTGGGGATATCAGATGGCTATGATGTAAAAGGGTACTACAGAGAGTCAGTTTCATGTAAGGGAGTAGCAGGACATGAGCATGGAAGCTTAGGTAAGTAGGCCTTTTTCACAGGGGGAGAAGAGATCCTGGAGGAGAAGGAATGAGATCAAATTTGCACTTCTGATTTTTCATCATGCTGATGGTAATGTGGAGGGTATATGGAAGGAAGAGAGCATGTTGGCTGTAGGTATATCATCTCACAAATCTCAGGTATTCTATGGGATTTCCTGAATGAGTCTGGAAATAGACACTCACTGGGAGTGTATGTTTGATGGAGTAATGAAATTACCTTCATTAAAGACTACATTTGTATGTCCACAGGCAAAGCATCTTAGTGTAAAAATAAACACAGAGAAAAACATTGACATAAAGAATAGTTCCACTTACTTGGAATCAGGAGTTTGAGTATAACAAATTCTCACAGTGAAGAATATTCCTTAGCTTTTTGGGGATTCTATGAAAATTATTATTATAACTATTATATAAATTAGCTTCATGAAATTCATATGAAAGCTGTACAGAAAACACATTAAAATGTGAAGGATATTTCTCTTAAACGTATTTAATGGTGCAAAAAAAAGAAAAAAACGTTTCTTTAAAATAGTCATGGTCTGCATATCACTGAGTTAATTCCCATTTTTAAAGCATAGAAGAATAATGTTATTTTAATATTCCTGAGTCAACTCATCGTTTTGAAATTTTGTATATTCACTAAGTAAAATTGTCATTATGCAAATATAATAAATACTGCACTAGAATAGATTTGCAGTTCACCTGACCTTTGTTAATAGGATGTTAGATTTGAGTGTCAACCTATTCTTCAATAAATTTTATTAAAATCTTGCACTTTCCAATAAAACAGTTTTGTTTAGTTGGACTATATAGGGACAATTCTGTTCAAAATTTGAATATAATTTGTTGTTCATCTAACATGAGTACTAAAGATTTTTGTGCTAAAATACTGTTATTTAAAATAATTCTGAAACCCAGCTATGACATATAAGGAAACATAGCTTTTAAGTTGAGAAAGCACAATGTGATTCTGACTAGAATATTTTTTTAATATAGTCTACCTTAACCTAAAAATGTGTGTCATAAAAAGGTTAGTATGCATGGCCACTCTTATTTTTTTTAATTCAAAAATGAAAATTTTTATTATTTTTTAACTTTAAAAAAATTTTAATATAATTTATTGTCTAATTGGCTTTCATACAACACCCAGTGCTCATCCTAACAAGTGCCCTCCTCAATGCCCATCACCCACTTTCTCTGCTCCCACCCCCCATCAACCCTCAGTTTGTTCTCTGTATTTAAGAGCCTCTTATGGCATAACCACTCTTAAAAATAAAGAATGCTTGGGGCACCTGGATGGCTCAGTCGATTAAGCATCTGACTTCAGCTCAGGTAATGATCTCATGGTTTGTGAGTTCAAAGTTTGAGCCCCGCATCAGGCTTCTACCATTAGCGCAGAGCCTGCTTCAGATCCTCTGTCCCCCTCACTCTCTGCCCCTCTCCTGTCCATTTTCTCTCTCTCTCTCTCCCCCAAAATATAAATAAATATTTTAAAAAGAAAGAAAGAATGCTTTTGAAGGATTAACACCAAATTCACCCTTTAAATACATTTTCCTTAATTTACAAGTACAGGATCATCTGCTTGCTTTCTTTGATGGGATCAAGCTCCTTAAAATATAGTTTAAAATATGTTTAAGTACAACTGTATTAACTATTTTTATGTATTGCATTTCTTCCTGTTTTAAATGTACACATCAGTAACAACACTTACAATTCTATTATTTTCCTTCTAGATTTGTTCCTCACGACATTGTCTGCCTCTAGTACCTTCCAGTTTGAGATATGGGAAAATGTGGTAAGAAGTCTTTTCTTTGAAGCATTTTTAAATGATGGCTTTCAGTAAAAGCACACAATTTTAGAAAATAAAATGAAAGTAATCACTTGGTTGGTTGGTTTCAACAATAAATAGAACAACTTTAAGAGCCTTTGGTTGCATTGCTGCATTCAAACTGCTGAATATTGCTGAAGGAAATGATTCATTCAGCATCAATTCCTCTGCAGGTTTTTAGGCATGACTGCCAATTAAACCAATCAGTCTGCCCTAATGTGAATGTTAACAGGGCCCCTGCTAGGCTGTCAGCTGTTGAGAGAGGTTACTATCATTTAATTTGTCAGCATGATGGTTTATTGAAAAAAACCCTTTTTTAAAAGACTAATTTTTCCTCCTTGCCTTCAGGCTTATATAAAATAATAAGAACAACACACACTAAACTGACTGCCGACTTGACCAGGATTAAGGAGTCTTTCCCAATATATATATATTTTTAATTGCAAGTAGAAGACTCCCAAACTGATGATTTTATTTTATTTTACTTTTAGCTTGATGTAGATTGTGTGAAATATTAATTAATGAAGAATAGAACACTCTAAGTCTTAAAATTGAATTTCATGCTATGTAACAGAAGACAGGATTTGAGGACGGGCCAGATTGGCCAACTGACTTTCATCAAGTAATGGTCAAGTGTTGAACCTGACTTTCCTCATATGCAAAACGAGAATAAGAGTGTCTGCTTCATGTAATGTGAAAGTGAAGATTAAATGAAACAATGTGTGTGAAGTGCCAGGTACCCAGTAGACACTTAACAAATTGTAATTTTAGATCTCTCAATTTCTCATCTATTTACTGATGATTGTGTTTTATTCAATTCAAATTAAACCCATAACATTTTACATTTTTTATTAAATATGGATGGAAAATAAGCATATCTCAAAAAATGTACAGTACAAGTTTGTGGAAGGAAGTTCATTATTAGCCTTCAAGTAAAGCATAGTAATTGATGTTGGTCATGACTCAAATTTCTTCATAGAAGGAAACTAGGATGAGTGGAGAAGCTATGTGTAGATAAGAGCAGGACTTCTAAATGCTACTTCTACAGTAAACAACTTGATCCTTCTTTTTTCTTAACATGGGAAAAGTGAGAAATATAACTAAACCAGAACAATTTATTTTTCTTTACTTTTTAAAAAATTAATCATATTTCTTCTACTGATATTAGAAATATGATTGTTATATACTTAATTATTACTATAAATTAAATCTCCCACTGCTGGGGGATATTTGTTTTTTAGGTGGCCTTGAAAACAATACCTAAAGTGAATCTTGAGGTATTAGATATGAGAAAATCAATCATTTTGATTAATCTATATCCAGATGGAGGACAAAAAGCCTCATTGCACATAAATATAAGGTGTAATAAAATTATGAAATACTTTTAACTGTTTGATATCCTCTCAGCCTAGGCTGATTTTCTTTTGCCCTAGGTTAGATTTTTTTTTTAATTTAAGTATAATTAACATTCAGTGTTATGTTCATTTCAGGTGTACAGTATGATGATTCAGCAACTCTATACACTTCTAAGTGCTTATCAGGATAATTGTACTGTTAATCCCCTTTATCTATGTCAGGCATCCCCTCACCCACCTCCCCTCTGGCAACTAGTTTGTTCTCTATATTAAAGAGGCTATTTTTTAATTTCTCTCATTTTCTTTATGTGTTTGTTTCTTAAATTCCATGTATGAGTAAAATCATATGATATTTGTCTTTCTCTGACTAATGTTTTTTATCATTATACCCTCCAGAGTCATCCATATTATTGCAAATGGCAAGATCTCATTTGTATTTATGGATGAGTAATATTCCATTGCATATATACAACACCTCTTCTTTATCTGTGAATGGATACTTGGGTTGCTTCCATATCTTGGCTATTGTAAATACTGATGCAATAAACATAGGGGTACATATATCTTTTCAAATTAGTACATTTATCTTCTTTGGGTTGATACCTAGAGTGGAATCCTTGGGCCATATGGTAATTCTATTTTTAACTTTTTGAAGAACTTCTATGCTGTTTTCCACAGTAGCTGCATCTATTTGCATTACAGTCAATACACAGAGCGTTCCTTTTTTTCCCACATCCTTGCCAACACTTGTTATTTCTTACGTTTTTTATTTTAACCATTCTGACAGGTGTAAAATGATCTAATGATCATTTTAATTTCCATGATGATTAGTGATGTTGAACATCTTTTAAGTGTCTGTTGGCCATTTATTTCTTCTTTGGAAAAATGTCCATTCAGTTCCTCTGCCCATTTTTAAATCAAATTATTGGGTTTTTTGATGTTGAGTTATATAAGGTATTTATATATTTTGGATATCAACCCCTTTTTGGATATCATTTCCTATTACACCCCATTGGATAACTTCTCCCATTCAGTAAGTTGCCTTTTTGATTTGGTGATGGTTTCCTTTACTGTGCAAAAGCTTTTGATTTTTGGTATAGTCTCAATAGTTTAATTTTGCTTTTGTCTATCTTGCTTGAGGAGAGATATCTAGAAAAATATTGCTACAGCCAATGTCAAAGCAGTTACCACATGTTTTCTTCCAAGGAATTTTATGGTTTCAGGTCTCACATTTAGGTCTTTAAACTGTTTTGAATTTAATTTTTCTGTATGGTGTAAGAAGGTGGTCAGTTTCACTCTTTTGCATTTAGCTGTCCAGTTTTCACAATACCATTTGTTGAAGAGACTTTCTTTTTCCCATTATATATTCTTACTTGAACATATAAGTGTGGGTTTATATCTGGACTATATTCTGTTCCATTAATCTATGTGTTTATTTTTGTGCCAGTGCCACACTGCTTTGATTACTATAGCTTTGTACTCTATTTTGAAATCTGCGATTGTGATATCTCTAGCTTTCTTCTTCTTTCTCAAGATTGCTTTGGCTATTTGGGGTCTTTTTGCATTCCATACAAATTTAGGATTGTTTGTTCTAGTTCTGTGACAAATGTTATTTGTATTTTGATAGGGATTGCATTAAATCTGTAGACTGTATAATCGAAATTATAACAATAGTGGGTCTTCCAATCCACAAGCATGGAATACCTTTCCATTTGTTTGTGTCATCATCAGTTTGTTTCATCAGAGTTTTATAGTTTTTGGAGTACATGTCGTTCACCTTCTTGGATATGTATATTTGTAAGTATTTTATTATTTTTGGTGCAGTTGTAAAAGAGATTGTTTTCTTAACTTCTCCTGTTGCTACTCCATTATTAGGGTATGTAAATGCAACAGATGTCTGTATATTAATTTTATATCCTGTGACTTTACTGAATTCATTTATAAGTTCTAGTAGATGTTTGGTACATATTTTAGTGGGTTTTTTTTTTTCTATACGTATCATCTGCAAATAGTGAAAATTTTACTTCTTACCAATTTGGATGATTTGGATGTCTTAGTGCCATGGCTAGGATTTCCAGTACTATGTTGAATAAAAGTGATGACTGGATATTCTTGTCTTCTTCCTGATCTTAGAGAAAAGCTCAGCATTTCATCATTGCATATATTACCCATGAGTTTTTCGTATATGACCTGTATTTTGTTGAGGTAGGTTTCCTCTAAAACTACTTTGTTAAGAGTTTTTATCTTGCATAGATGTTGTACATTCTCAAATGCTTGCTGTGTATTTGCTGATATGATCACATGGTTTTCATCCTTTCTCTTGTTAATGTGACATATCATATTAACTGCTTTGAAAATATTAAACCACCCTTGCATCTCTGGAATAAATCCTCTTAATCATGGTGAATGATTTTATATGTTATATTGGATTCGGTTTGCTAATATTTTGTTGAGGACCTTTCCATCTATGTTCATCAGAGTTAGTGTCCTATAATTTTCATTGTTTGTAGTGTCTTTTTCTGGTTTTGGTATCAGGGTAATGCTGGCCTCATAAAATGAATTGGATGGCTTTCCTTTCTCATCTGTTTTTTGGAATAGTTTGAGAAGATTAGGTATTAACTCTTCTTTTAATGTTTGGTAGAATTCATCTGTGAAGCCATCTGGTTCTGGACTTCTGTTTGTTGGGAGTTTTTTGGATATTGATTCAATTTCACTGCTAGTAATCAGTATGGTCAAATTTTCTATTTCTTCCCGATTCAGTTTTAAGAAGTTATAGTTTCTAGGAATTTAGCCATTTCTTCTAGGTTGTCCAATTTGTTGACATATGATTTTTCACACACTCTTCTCTTATAATCCTTTGTATTTCTGTGGCATCACTTGTTATTTCTCCTCTTTCATTTCTTTTTATTATTTAAATTTTAGTTAACATACATTGCAATATTGATTTCAGTAGCAGAATTCAGTGATTTATCACTTATATATAACACCCAGTGGTCATCACAACAAGTGCCCTCCTTTTAATACTCATCACCCATATAGCCCATGTCCCCCCCCCAGTTCCCTCCTTCAACCCACAGTTTGTTCTCTATCATTAAGATATCGTTTGTTGTATTGTTTCATGTGGTTTGTTTCCCTCTCCTTTTTCTGCTTCCTGTTTGTTCATTTGTTTGGTTTCTTAAATTCCACATACGAGTAAAATCATATGGTATTTGTCTTTCTCTGATTAACTTATTTCACTTAGCATTTTACTTTCTACCTCCATCCACATTGTTGCAAGATTTCATTCTTTTTGATGGTTGAGTTCTATTCCATTGTATATATATACTACATCCTCTTTATGTATTCATTAGTCAATAGACATTTGGGCTCTTTCATAGTTTGGCTATTGTTGATACTACTGCTGTAAAAACATTGGGGTGCATGCATCTACTCAAATCTGTATTTTTGTATCCTTTGGGTAAATACCTGATAGTACACTTGCTAGATCATAGGTAGTTCTATTTTTTTTTTCTTTTTTTTTTTTTTCAGTGTTTTTTTTATTTTATTTTTGGGACAGAGACAGAGCATGAACGGGGGAGGGGCAGAGAGAGAGGGAGACACAGAATCGGAAAC